GCCCGAGATTTTGCCTCGGCAACTGCCACTGCTGCACCCCGCTTGGCTATCCGGTACCTGTCTGCTGCCTCCGGAGACCCACAGACCAGCCACGCCCTGTAGGCCTCCTTCTTCAGCCTGACGGCTCCCCGAACCTCTGGTGTCCACCAGCGGGTACGGGGGTTGCCACCACGACTGGCACCAGCCACCTTACGACCACAGCTAGCAACAGCCGCCTCGACAATCGCAGAGTGGAACAAGGCCCACTCGGACTCAATGTCCCCCACTGCTCTCGGGACGTGGTCAAAGCTCTGCCGGAGGTGGGAGTTGAAGACCGTCTTGACAGGTTCTTCTGCCAGGCGTTCCCAGCAGACCCTCACTATGCGTTTGGGTCTGCCAGGTCTACGCGGCATGTTCCCTTGCCATCTGATCCAACTCACCACCAGGTGGTGATCAGTTGACAGCTCCGCCCCTCTCTTCACTCGGGTGTCCAAAACATACGGCCGCAGGTCAGATGATACGACTACAAAATCTATCATCGACCTGTGACCTAGGCTGCCCTGGTACCAAGTGTACCGGTGGGCATCCTTATGTTCGAACATGGTGTTCGTTATGGCCAAACTGCGGCTTGCACAGAAGTCCAATAACAAAACACCGCTCGAGTTCTGATCAGGTGGGCCGTTCCTCCCAATCACACCCCTCCAGGTCAAGCTGTCATTGCCCACGTGAGCATTGAAGTCCCCCAGCAGGACAATGGAGTCCCCTGATGGAGCACTATTTAGCACTCGTCCCAGGGACTCCAAAAAGGGTGGGTACTCTGAACTGATATTTGGCCCATAAGCACAAACAACAGTCAGGACCCGTTCCCCGACCCGAAGGCGCAAGGAAGCTACCCTCTTGTCCCCCGGGGTAAACCCCAACACACAGGCAGAGAGTCTCGGGGCTAACAAAAAGCCAACCCCAGCCCTCCGCCTCTCACCCGGAGCAACTCCAGCAAAGTAGAGTGTCCAACCCCTCTCCAGGTCTCGGGTTCCAGAGCCAATGCAATGTGTCGAGGTGAGTCCGACTATATCTAGCCGGTACCGCTCAACCTCTGCCACAAGCTCCGGCTCCTTCCCCGCCAGCGAGGTGACGTTCCATGTCCCAAAAACTAGTTTTCTTGTCCGGGGATTGGACCGCCAAGGCTCCCGCCTTGGTCTGCCACCCGATTCACATTGCACCGGACCCTTCATGTTCCTCCTGCGGGTGGTGGGTCCACAGTTGGACGAGCCCATGTATCCGGTTCGGGCTGGGCCCGGCCGGGCCCCATGGGCGAAAGCCCGGCCACCAGGCGCTCGCTCACGGGCCCCAACCCCAGGCCTGGCTCCAGGGTGGGACCCCGGTAACCCTCCGGGCCGGGTACTCCGACTCTTCGTTTTCACCGCCATGAAAGATCCTTCGAACCGTTCTTTGTCTCACCCTTCACCTAAGACCAATTTGTCATGGGAGACCCTACCAGGGGCACTAAGTGCCCCAGACAACATAGCTCCTAGGATCATTAGGGCACTCAAACTCCTCCACCACGATAAGGTGACGGTTCAAGGAGGAGGCGTATCAAACGCTTTTTGTAAATCTACAAAAACACTCACCAAATATTGTTTATTATCTATTGCTATTGAAATCTCTTCTACTAAGTCAGTTATTGCTGTTGCAGTTGAATGATTAGAACGAAACCCATATTGACTATTATGCAAAACACTATGCCTATTAATAAACTTTTCCATCTAACAACAAATAATTTTTCCAGAATTTTTGAAAACTGAGGAAGCAGTGATATTGGCCTGTAATTAGAGTATTCATGCTCATTTCCACCCTTATAGAGTGGTATCACTCTAGCAGTTTTCATATTTTCTGGAAATATGCATATATATGTAAAAGGTTTAATAACTAAGTCTATGATGTTTTTCACAAGAGACATATTCATATCGACATAATCATTTGAAGTGTTGTTCAGACACTGTAGCACTATTTGTAATTTTTCACTCTCATCTGCTTTATCAAGAAAAATACTATCCACAATATCTTTTATTGTTTTTCCCAGTATTACTGTATTATCATTTTTAACTTTAGGAATTAGTTTCGCTAAATTTGAGCCGATGTTCACAAAAAATGTATTAAAGTCATTTATGATTTATTTTTGATCATAAATATCCATCTTGTTTTTTATAAAGTAATTTGGTATTGGTGGTCGTACTTTATCTTTTTTTTAGAAGTTTACTAATAACACCCCATGTGTCCTTTGTGTTATCCTTGTTTTTTATCTAACAATTGACTGTAATACTCCCTTTTCTGACGTTTTATAATCCCTAATAATTTGTTTTTATATATTTTATATCTCACTTCTGATTCTTTTGTCCTAAGCTTCAAAAACCTTATATATAAATAATTTTTTTTCTTGAAGGCATGTTTTATACCATTTGTCATCCACGGTTTGTCAATTTTCTTGGCATTACCTCCTATTTTGATCATTTTACAGTTCTTATTGTACAAAGTTAATAGTATGTTCATGAAAGTAGTATAGGCAATATTCATGTCATCTTTGTACACATCATCCCATTTCTGCTTCTTTAGGTCTTCTTTAAAGGCATTCAGTGCTGTGACTGATCTATTTCTCACTTATACTTCTGTTGTGTCTTGAACAGGTTTACTATATTCACACTCAAGAATAGAAAATATAGGAAGATGGTCACTCACATCCGTCAGCAAAATTCCACCTAATAACAACGTGTCTTCTGTTATCATGTTAGTAAAACTATTATCAATAATAGTTGTGAGGTGGTTTATGTTAATTTCTCCAGACACACAAACTGAGACTTTTTGAAGCAGCTTGTTTTAGGCACACAGTTCCTGAAACTAAACACTGCAACAAAGGGAGGTGTTTTAACATTTGGAGTGTTTACGGAGGCAGTAGAGACCCACATGGAGGCACAAAAAGATATGTAAAAGTGAGTTATGCCTAATTTGCCTCTTTAAAAGTAATGAGGGGAACAGTTCAGTCAGTTTAAAGTCAATCTGCAAACTGTTTCATTTAAAATTTACAACAACAAAAAAAGCATAAGGAACACAAGCAACAGACAATTTTGAGATTGGAAAATACAATTCAAGATTAACTAAATCATGACTGACTGGGTTCAGTAAATTATTAAATGCCAGCTAAAGCTGGATTTATTCTTCTCCGTCAGCTTCGCAAGGGAGAGATGTACAGGCATTGACGAGACGATTTGCTCTCAGACTTGTCACCTGGGGAGCATTGCAAAGCAATTCCCCGCCAGAACAAAAGAGGACATTGTGCTTTTCTGTGGTATCATGCTACAATTACACTCCTGTATTGGTCCACGATAGTGTATTTACCTATATGTATATGTCGATGGTATTTACTAATGTGTTTGTATATTTCGTAGATTTTATAACACAGACAAACTTGTCCTTCATTCTCCCCCACCTCTTCATGAGGTCTCCACTTAAATATCATGCTCTTAACTCATGTTTCCCGTTATTTCCGTCCACAAATAAAACTTTTGCTCTTTATTTATTTGTACTCCTTCGTTCACGGGTGAATAAACGCTCATAGTTTTGGACTTTTTCCACAATGCGTTCTTCAATTTTTTTCCATGCCTGCCGCTGAATATCTTTTAACTTGTTGATGGGGCAATGGCGGGGCTATTGACAAATTTAAAGGAAGATGCATCCTGACCGATCACAAGCTTGCGGTCTCCATCACTTTTGACGGATGTTTAAAAATGTGGGCATGTCTTCGTCACCTTTGTGAGCCCGTTGGAGAGCCCATAATGGCGTCGCGTGCCTTTGAACTGATGCAGAGAAGTATAAATCAGACTTAAGTTTCAAGTCTTCATCTCAACTCAGCCCCCCATCCTGAGCAAGCAATGTACAGTTGGTGACAGTGGGCAGGAAGAACCGGAGCCAAAACTTCAACCTGGATGGGAAACCTTCTACCTCGATCAAGTCTGAGAGGACAGAGAAGATACGAATGATAGATTTGAGGGTTTGAGTTTTTTGCAGTATTCAGGTTAGTAAGCATAAACCGTAGTAGGGGGGTGTATTGGCAAGAATCTGGAGATACGATATATAAATATACATATGTGGGGGAGACAATACAATACATTAACCCTCTGGAGGCAGGCGTTGCAGATTTGCAACAGTTAAAACCTACCTGGTTACTCCACATACGTACTTCATGAGCATTTTTTAACTCAGAAGTACCCCTGAAGGACTTAGTTGTTCGTCCTTTTATCAAAACTTATTTTGAGCCTGAGAGGGTTAAATACCAGAGGTGTGGACTCGAGTCACATGACTTGGACTTGAGTCAGACTCAAGTCATTATTTTTAATGACTTCTGACTTGACATAAAATCTATAAAGACTTGAACGCTAATGACTCGTGACTTGAATCAACTTGCATCTGTTGACTTGATGATGACTTGAGCATATTTGATATTTTAGCACAAAAGTGGCACGACATGGACAAAAATCATAAATGATTCTTCGTTCTGGATTTGATCTTGAACTGCTAAACGCAGCAGCAGTTTGTTTATAATCAGTTTCAGTTGCACTTCCTGCTTGTTTGAGCAAATAAATGAAGCTTTAAGAAGCTTTGTTTCGGGAATTTATTTATCGTCATTGAAAATTCATAGTTAGTAACTTGGACTTGACTTGGACTTCCACATCATTGACTTTGGACTCTACTTGGACTTGACTCAAGACTTGACTGGAAAGACTTGTGACTTACTTGTGTAGTGATTTGAAGTTGTATATTTATACACTGTAATTAGATAATTTAATTATCTGATTTTGTGTATTTATACACTGTAATTAGATCTAAGTAATCAATCAGAAGTGGTTGTTTTTATCATCAGGGAGTTTACTTAAACACTCTGTATTGACTGAGAGACAAGAAAAGAGAGAGAGTTGGGATCGTTTAGAATCTTTAATTTCTATAATTATAAATTCTTACAATCTACCAGGACTATCTCAATGATGAATGCATATGGATTTGGATGTTTCGTGTTGGTGTGTGTGTGTGTGTTTTGTTCAGAATCTCTAGGCTGAGTAGCGAATCTGGTTTGTTATGACTAGGCTACCACTAGGCTTCAGAAGCTGATGACATGAGCCGCCATATTGCCGTGACCACGTACCGTAGATGGAGTCTCCCGTGTAGATCAGGAATTGCCAGGTCCTAAGACCTCGGTTGTACTGGAGCTGGTGAAACAGCGGTCGCAGCACTACAAAGCCCGTCTGAGGATCACTCCGGTAGTAGTCGGCAGGCGTCAGCAAGTTCACTCTTATTTTGAAGGAACGTCGTCTCGTTGGTACAAACGACGGAAATCTCCAGCTTGACAGTTCTCAGCTTAAAATAGGAAATACAGCTGGCCAGCCTGTACTCCTCTTTGAGGTGATGGATTGAGAGCTGGTTAAAAACAATGTTGAGAGTATGATGTAACTCCTTGGAGCTCGGATCGAACAGAGCTGATGTCAACGTGGAACTGTTAACATGGAACTGAGTATAAAATGGCGTTGCCTTCTTTTATATCTCCCAGTTGTTTACCAGTCTTAGTAAACCGGATTGGACTACTTTCATAAACAAACCAGATTCTCTCTACGACAGACGAAAGTTCTGATTGGTTGAGAATAATGTGTCATGTGTTTCCATGGTAATGTATATCAGTCTGTTTGGTGCAGTCCTGTTTATTCATTTAAACACATAACTCATGACATCTTTATTTCACAGATCATTCACCTGATTATTAATGATCAACAAATGCTTTGATTAGCTTATCACAAATAAAGTACTTTGATTAATCAATGAAAAGCGTTCTTCTTCTGTTCTTCTGTCTCTTCTCCTGGAATGTAAACATACTGAACCAAGCGTCCGACCTTGGCGATGTTACTGTGTGAAGGGGCAGCTGTTAAGGGCAGACCATTATAAGCTTCATAACGCTACACTTGTGACTTGCAAAGCAGTGACTTGGTCACACCTCTGTTAAATAATAAAAGCCAGAAGATAGTTGCAAATTTTAAGACTGAATTTAAATGAAAAACTCGGGCCAGACGCTTCCAACACACATCCAGGTTATCACGAGATCTCGTTCTGTCAGAATGGAGGCGGTGAAAACTGCTGCCACCCAGCAGTCGGAGTTTGAATAGAGCTTATTCCAAAGATCCCCCAGTTTGATGCTTCCTCACATTCTGGTCAATGGAATCACTTCCAGGTCGCAGTAACGTTAGTTTTTTCTATGACCATGTTTATGTGATCACAGCAGGATCTGTCAAGAAAACCGTCACAGGTGTGGTCTGTATTATCTTGCTGATCATTATCCTTGGCAGCAGCTGCAGCACACCACACAAAAAGAAATACAGTAAATGTTTGCATGTAAAATCTCAATAAAAATAAATCAACGCACTGCTTTTAAACTTCAATTCAGTATCTTGACATGAAATATTTCAATGTAATGATATATTCTTACATCTCCAGTAAAGTAAGCAGCACCATCGCTCTTCACACACAGCATGAGGTTTATGGATCTTACGGGTGAGAAACAAAGTAAAGAGCCACGTGCATGTATCATCTGCCTTTCCTTGAACAAGTATAAATCATTGGTCTGTACCAACGTTTGCGCGAGCTCATTCACTCCCACGCGTACGCAGATGTGAGACAGCTACACTGATTTCCCAACTTCTTGCTTGTTGGTGTCTTTGCTCAATATCAACCAGATGTTTGTCCTCCTCCACATTAAAAGCCCTGAGACCGATCCTGATACGAGGGATGGTCCGGCTCCCACAAGCATGCCAAAATTCCACTTTGAATACTTAGGAATGGCTCGATCCTGGAGCGTTGACTCTGCTGGTTATGGTAGCAGAGGGATTGTGGAATCTCTGATGAAGGCTGTATTTCAGTTGTAGCTGCATAATGTCACTTTAGCACACTCTAGAAAACATCAGCCATTCTGTCGCATGTATTCAACCATGAGACGGAGCCTGACCCACATAAAGAAAATCCCTTTGAGTAGTTTCACGTCATTTAAATCATAACAGATTAACCTATTGACCCTTTTCAGGAAGGTAGCTACATTTATGTCACATTGTTATAATCCAAGTCAAATATTCCGCTACAAACGGTATACCAGTGTTGCTTTGGTCAGTATTCCAGTGCTCATAAACAAATCATCTGATTAGGTTTGAGTTATTGACTCCACGTTAATGCTGGACGTGAGCCAACAGGAAGGAAACTGTTTCCAGAGTTTTCTTTTGTTGAGCTCCTGTCATCAGATTAGGGGCCGGCTGTTGGTTTTAGGGCCGGAGGGTCACAGACGCCTGGTTAGCTCTTTAGTTCCATTATCGGAAAATCTGAATCGCCTGAAGCAGCTTGAAAGAAAAATATAAGTTTGTAGTTCAGCTGGGTGGGAATATGAGTCCAAATAAAAGCAACACAGCTGAGGATTTTGAGGCCCTTTGATTTTGGACTTAAAGAGGAACTAGGCAGTTTTGGCTTGCTTTTAGCACCCCCTAGTGTCTGTTTGTAGAACCAAAAGTAAAACTCATCTTGCTGTGCATTTGTCTTTTTTTAACACCTTAATCTAACAGCTGAAATGTCTCCACAGCCTTCATTTGTGTCTACAGGAGAACAAATAAGCTGTGTTCATGATCTAAAACATGCAGGAAATGTGCTGGAAGCAGACTACAGTGCCAGGTATGTCAGCTCTATTTGTTCAATGTCCCAACAGGGCGGCCCGCCAGTGTGAAGGTCCAAGTGTAATCTTCTGGCCACAGGGGGGCGATAGGGGCTGGGTGGTCTTTCATTAACCCTGCAAAGGATCATTTTAGCACGTACTGGCTCAAGAAAATTATTTTAAAATATGAAAAATTTGCAAAGCATCCCTTTAAATTTGTGAATTTTGTTGGCTGGGTGTACTTCTAGCATTAAATTATGCCTTTTATCAGTTTTTTTAATATGAAATTAATCTACATTTCTTTGTTTGGTTTTTGTTTGCTGTTCTTGCTTCTGTAAAGCACTTTGAATTGCCTTTGCATTTGAAATGTGCTTTACAAATAAAGCTGCTTTGCCTAAACAATAATAAAAACTGGAGTGAAAAAACAGACAAAAGCAAGAAAAACATGTAAATGCAGCTATACTAAAGACGTTCAAACCTTTGTATAAATAAATGTTTTAGAAAAGTCACAATTAGATCGTTGATAAACTGATGAAGGGTCATGTGCTGCCCTCTAGCGGTATGTAATAGTTTTTACTTCTGAGGCAACCATCAACACAAGAATATCTTCGTTTAAAAAATAAATTAATTTATAAGTAAAAAGAAACACCATACACTTGACAAATGACTGCGTTCATCTTTCTTCATTCCCTAATGAAAGGCAGTCTTCTGGAATCTCAACTTTTGGAAAAACTGGATTAAGAACGTTCCAAGAATGACAATGACGCAGTTTCCTTTGAGTAATTTTAATTACGACAAGAACAGAAACAAAATCGTTGCAAAAGTAAAAAGGAAAAAAGTTTCTATCTCAAAGCTGAGACCAACAAAGTGCAAAAAAAATTATTTTGTTCTTTCAAATATGAAAATTTTTTAATATTTTTTTAATAAAAATGTACTTCATTAAATGTTAAGCTTTTAAAGCAGAACTAGCTGGAGTTTCTATAATTGAAGAAAATGTTTTGGATGTGTTAGACATTTTTGAGTCAAATTTGAGAAGTAACATTTAACGTTATTTTTATTTTTTAACACAATCAGAGAGGAAAAAATGTCGGACAGCTTCAGTTTTAAGCACGTTCAGGTGGCAGCTGGTTTCCCCTTAATCTTTAATTCAACTGATTTGTCTTCTGGGGCCTCATGCATCAACCGTACTTACACACAGATCTGTGCGTACATCGTGCATAGGAACTAATTTACGCATTGTGTGGTATTCATCACTTTGCACCTGTGCGTGGAAATGTTCCTAAACTTAAGAAAACTTCAGACCACGCATAGGAACAGCATCTAGTGGGGGTAGAACAGGGGAACCGCAGCACCAAAGGTCTCAGTCATCCACACATGTTCCTCATCTATAAATTATTCTACCCATTAAATAATTATTCCTGTGAAAAAACAGCTGTGTCACACCTTTGGTGCTACAACACCCTACACGCAGCTGACATTGTAGAATGGTTGTTGAGTTTTTGGAATCACAATTTTTTTATTTTCTTATTTATATTATCTTTTTAATTAATATTATTTGTAATTTTATTTTATTATATTTTTGTCCTTGTGAAGCACCTCGTGATTTTGCTTAAGATATGTTAGATAAAAGAACGTTTCTTATTATTATTTTTAAGGATTTGTCAGCGCGTGCTCTCTGGAGTAGACGCGTTTCCGAGCGCACTGCCAGGAGATCCTTCTGGAGCTGTGCTGTGATTTGGGACTCTCTGTGGAGCGACAGATAAACCACACAAATTTTGCCACTACGAGAACCCTCTAGAACTTCCTCTGCTCCCCGATCACACACACACGTTGTCAAGGTAACCAGACTGAATGACAGCTAAGAGGCTGCTCTCAGACATTTCCAAATAAAACTAACCAAATCCAGAACGACTCCTTAAATGTACCGTATTTTCCGGACTATAAGCCATTACTTTTTCCCACGCTTTGATCCATGCGGCTAATAATGAGGTGCAGCTTTAGTCAACCAGAAAGGATGGATGCTGGAAAGTCTACTGAAGGAATGGTTAAAGGAGTGCTACGGAAAGCGCCCAGGAGGATTTTTTTCACAGTAAAACAGCGCTGCTCGTTTTCCCAGCTTCACCCCGGGATGATGACATCGCCACAGAAAGGTATGTGACGAAGCTCTTCTGAGGCTGTTCAACTCCGACACTGAAGAAGATGATGACTTCAGTGGTTTCAGTGCGCAGGAGGACGATGAATAAACTAATCAATCACTTTTCTGTTTTGTTTGATTCTGATCAGTTCAGTTACGTTCAGTTAAACTACGTTTTCAATTCAGTAGATATCTGCGGCTCTTAGCCTGGTGCGGCTTGTATTGAGGTGCGCTCTATAGTCCAGAAATTACGGTAAATGACAACCCGTTACTCTACGATTTATCATATTTAAGTTTTATTTATTCCTGACGAAGACCTCTCCTCTGTCGCGGCCGCCGCGTTCATCACGTCTGAAACTTGTTTGGTTATTTTGCGCTTCAGCAGCGGTCTCCATCTCACAATTTTCTTATTTCCAGGTAGAACGCAGGGAATCCCCTCACGTGCTGAGGACGTAGCGCGACCAAATATGGATAACTGAGGGAGTTCCTGTATGTAAATGATTGAGAATGGACACGAGCACCCGGGTATGCACAGGTGGGATTAATCAACAGACGATCATCAGAGGAACGCGCGTGCGAGAGGCCACAGCGTGTTTCATAAATCAGGTGTTTGACCGTTCTAAATTTCATACACGGGAAGGAATTTAGGAATTTTTCTACGAATGTTTGGTACATGAGGCTCCTGGTCTTATTCACTCCTGTCAGTATGACAGAATAACATGTAAACTAGATTTTTCCAACATCTTATGTCTTTAAACATTCTGTAAAGTCTCCATTTATTATTAATGGTGTATATTTAGAAATAACATTTCAAAAAGGTCATTTTTGCTCAAACATTCTTAGAAGTAAATCCATTTGAATCCAACTATAGGTTCAATCTGTGATAAAAATGAAAACTGAGCTCAAACTAATCAATGCTTGTTAAATGTTAAATTAATTAAACATATTCACACCATTTTGTATTTGCTTAAATATTTAAATGTATTTTAAAAATTAGAAAAATATCTTCAAATAAACTTCTAAAAGCAAAACAATATATGAAAAGGAGATGAAACAACCTTTTCCATTTGATCTTTTCGTTGATCACATATTAGCTGATCACCACTTGTGAGCGTGAGTCCCTAAGTGGTATTTCAGGTGTGCGCTCTGCAGAAACCCTCTCCCGCAGACGTCACACCTGTACGGCCTCTCTCCCGTGTGGCTCCTCGTGTGCTTCCTCAGATGTCCGCTGTGAGTGAAACTCTTACCGCACACCGAGCAGCAGAAAGGCTTCTCTCCCGTGTGGATCCTCATGTGGATCTTCAAATCTCCCTTTCTGCTGCACTCTTTCCCACACACGTGGCAGTGGTGCAGCTTCAGCCCCGCGTGGCTGGCCATGTGCTCGGTCAACGACGTGGCGCTTTTGTATTGCTTCCCACATATGTGGCAACTTTTGGGGTTCTCATGGGACTTGAGGTGCAGCTGAAGGTTTCCGGTGCCCTCCAAGGTTTTTCCGCACACAGCGCACACGATGCAGCTGTCCTTCAAATGAATTCGCAACGCGTGATTTACCAGGCGGTGAATGGAGGAGAAAAACCCAGAACACAAATGGCAGCGATGGTCAGTTCCCGTGAAAGTCATGAGAGACGGATCCCTTAGTTCTCTGGAAAGGACGGATGAAGTCTGGCCTTGCTTTTGCTCTGATGCAAAACTTGCAGTGGCCTCATTGGGTGAAGATAATGTTGAAGGGAAAGATGAATGGAGGAAGTCATTTTTTACTTCCTGCATCACCTGAAACTCCTCCTCTGGTTCACAGGTTTGGATCGAATGCTGCACAGGTGGTTTTGTGTCTTCCTGCTCACTCGTCTGCTGAGGATCAAAGACATCAGCCTCCTCTTCTGCCAGATCCTCCTCCTGCTGCTCAGTGGGCCAGAGTTCATGATCTTCCTGTTTAATGTGAGGAAGTTCTGGTTCCACCCGACTGTGGATGAGGACGGACTTCTGCTCACAGTGATGCCGTTTATGTGGAGTTTCATCTTTGATGGAGGGTGACTGAGAAGTGTCTGAAATTAAACATATTAATAAAATCACAAACCAAGGAAAACCAAATCATTAAATTCATTTTCTGAACCACTTAGTCCTTAACATGGTCACAGTGGGCCGGTGCCTATCTCCAGCAGTCAGCGGGCGAGAGGCGGGGAGACACCCTGGACAGGTCGCTCATCCATCACAAAGACGGTTTCCCTAACATGATGCACGTTTTTGGCCTGTAGGAGGAAAACCGAGTAGAACCCATGGAGGGCCACAGCTGGGGTTTGAACCCACAACTTGTTTTGCTGCTAGGCAACATTGCTCCCAACTGTGCCACCATGCAGCATTTAAACCAGAAGGTCTTTATGTTTTCACATGTTGAGGATTTTGCCATGAAAATCCTAAAGGATGCCTTTATGAGTTGTGAAAAGTATTCTTGTAAAATCCACAACACTTACAATAACAAAACAGTTGTCACGAATATGTTTAAACTCTATAAAGTTTTAGCTTTTTGGAGAAATGACTGCTAAATGATTTTACTGCCACCCTGCTCAGGAGGAGGCAGTTACAGACGACTGTGGTATACTTTTGTCATGTGCAACGACAATAAAGTTGGACTCTATTCTATTGTGAAAATGAAGGCAATCCAGGTTTTAAATAATATAATAAAACAGTGAAACTATTTGAAAACTAGATAAATGTCATTTGTTTCTAATCTGCTGTGCAAAAACACATAGGCTGCAGGATTTTGTTAAATCAGTCGATAATTTATATTTAAAAATTTCAGATACATTATTTTAACAAACAAACTTATACTCACACATTTCACAGGAGAAAAACAGACGTACAGTGGGGTTTACACCATAGACTGTACATACATGTGGTTTACACCCACATTATTTGCGTGTTGGGAGTGTTAGATGGTAAGTGAACAAACATCTGAGTTGTTGGGGGCACTTAAACTTATTAACTAACTTAATAGCACACAAGACGGCTTAACTGCGGGTATTTTAACACTACGAGGCTTATGACTGATTGTTCTGCTGTATTCTGACAGTAGCAGAGAGATAAAGAGACAAAAACACACCTGCCCTCTGATTTTCCAGCTCCAGCAGCAACCCCCTGAGCCTCTCGATCTCATGTTTGGAGTTGGACGCTTCTTCTTCGTATTTTGCTATCGTTCCTTCAAAAACCTGGAATATTTCTTCCACCACCGCCGTTAGCCGCTCGTTTACAAAAGCCCTGAGAAGCAGCGGCGACATTTTTATTAGGGGTGCTAAACAAAACCATTCAAAGGGACCTGAATGACCCCAAAAGAGCTTTAACGTAGCAGCTAGCTGTTCTTCGTTTAGGTTTCACGTCAGCATACGTTCAAAACGTCACACTATCGCCACCTGCTGGATGTATCATGTTGCTACACTTCTTCCGTCCGCTCCTGAGCAAAATACATGTTTTTGTGTGGAAAGTTATGATTTCATTACTGTGTGTCTATTTTACACATTCGGTCTTAATTATTTAAAAGATAATAAAAAAATTAAGAATGCACTTTCCCACCTTTTCACCTCATTTGACCATTATTTGAAATGTCTTAATTACAACAGAAAGTACAGGTTTATGCATCAACTGAACCCACTGTAACATTCTACTTCATTATAAACAGATGTAGCTGGTAAAAATATTTCTTTCCATGTTAAATTATGAATTATTTTTGTAATGTAAAGTAGAGCATGACGCTCCCGTATTCTAGTTAGAATTGGCAAAGCTCCTCGGATGAGAAGCGAAACGTTTTCAAGAAACCAAAGAAGTCCAGTTGCCTTCATTTGAACCCTTTGGGTTACAACAAAATATTTACCTTTTCAAAACAAGGCTTTTTAAACGGAGACATTTGCTAGTCTAATATTTATCAACCATCCATTCATCATTTTTATTTTATTTTACAATTTCACAACAATGTAAATGTGATAAAGGCATCAAATTGTCCCTTGTGGTTTTTAGGTCCTCCACCAGAGGGCAGTAGACCTGTGTGGATCTGGATATTATAGGATTTTGATTAAACGGATACTTAGCAACTTTTTCATTTTTAAAATAATTTTCTTGAGCCAGTATGTGCTAAAATGACCCTTTGCAGGGTTAATGAAAGACCACCCAGCCCCTATCGCCCCCTGTGGCCAGAATATTCCACTTGCAACCTCAGACTGGCGGCCGCACTGCTGGCACTTAGAACAATTGGAGCTGACATACCTGGCGCTGCAGTCTGGTTCCAGCATGTTTCCTGCATGTCTTAAATCTTGAACACAGATAATTGCTTAAGTTAGTGATGAATCACTCCTGTAGGCACTAAGGAAAGCTGGGGGGTGGGTGGGTGGGTGTGGGTGGTGGTGGTGGTGTGTGTGTGGGGGGGGGGGGGATTTCAGCTTTGAGATAAAGGTGTTAAAAAGACAACCGCACAGCAAGGAGATAAGTTTTACTTTTGATTCTACAAACAGACACTAGGGGGTGCTAAAACTAAACAAAAGCTGCCCAGTTCCCCTAATTCTAGTGCTTGAAATTGAATTGTCTTTTCAATTGACCATACCATACCAGTTTATTTCTATAGCACATTTAAAACAGCATGAGAACTGACCAAAGTGCTGCACAGGACAACAGTCATAAAAACACATTACAAAACAGATAAAAACATTCAATAAATAAACATCAAAAATCAAACATAAAAAGGAGTCACTGTCCAAAAGCCAAGTCAAGTGGGTCTTCGGCCATGATTTGTAGACAGCAATGGATGAAGACTGTCTAATTGTGAAGGGTAATCTAGTCCAGAGCACAGGGGCGACATAAACAAAAGCCTGCTCCCCCCTTGATTTATGGTTCATGAAAGGAGTGCAGAGTAGCAGTGGTCAGCTGACCTCAGTGAGCGTACCGACACATAAGAGGTGAGCAGGAGGTCTGATAGGTAAGAAGGTGCAAGGCCATTCAAGGCTTTGAATGCAAAGAGCAGTATCTTAAACCTCACCTTAAAGGTTATGGGAAGCCAACGTAGATGTTACAGAACCGGGGTGATGTGACTGCGTCTATTTGTGTTTGATTGCAATGTTGCTGCAGTGTTTTGTACGATCTGCAGCCTGTTCAGGACCAAAATTTGATCGTAAACATTTAAATGTGATTTAGAAAATTATTATTTGTAATGGAACAAATATTTTATTACAACTTGGCTCACCACAAGATAAATAAAATGAAACAGATTTTTACAGACATTGCTATAAGTCGTGGTGTGAAGCTCTACACACAGTGAGAAAAAATTTAAACATTTCTCACACTCCAGTTTCCTTTGAAATGATGCACATGGTGGGAACAACAACCCGACAGAATCCCAGGACACGCAGTCGAGTGATAGACACATTTCACTGTTTTCTCTTAGAAAGGTCACTGTGGAATTGTGACATATTTGTTTGTTATTAAAGACTGTGTCGTGACCCACTGTTCCCACTGCTTCCTCTCGTTCACCCAGCGGACCATCTGTCCCACGCCGTGCTCAAAGGAGATGAAAGGACAGTCGTGATGTGAGCTGTACTGAACACCGCTGATCTCTGTCTGCAGCAGAAGGAAACAAAACAAAGACAGGTGGACAGGAAGAAAGCAGAGCTTTAAAATGAAAGTGTCACAGTTTATCACGTTTATAATATATTTTGTGCTACATTATATTTAATTCAAATTTAAAATTACACCTTTTACTGTCTTGTTGATAAAAATACTATTTATTATAGAGGACTTGTTGCCTGTTGAGTTGTTCAATATGTACCCATCCTACCAAAAATAAACACACAAGTAAATAAATGAATAAATAAAAGACAAATGGAAATTGCTCCACCCAAATAAAAAAGTAAAATGCTGATAACTGGTGTATTAATCAATAATGAGACTATTAATAGTTACATGTATAATGTTAAAGACTGAGTAGAAACTTAAATAACTTTAAATGAGGTGCCGTGCTGTCCTTATAACAAAGTACTTACTGTACCTCGATTTACTACTTCATGTACCTGAACACCCCTCCGGCAAAGGGAGCGACACCAAAGCGCATACAAGATGAAGATGTCTCACTATCCCTCAGATTTCCGAGACTTACAGCAGGTGATGAGCTTCTTTCGCCTTCGTTAACATTTAATTGGATTTATTCGAATTGATAATAAAGCTTCGGCCCTAAATTATTTCCGTTCAGTAGCAAATTTTATTTTATTTTTTTCCCACATTTGAGTATTTTTAAACTTAGAGTTCAAACGCTCACGTGCGTCAAGTGTCACTGCGGTGTGATCCTCTTCAGTTCACTAACTATCTCATCTTTGAAGCAGCGGGCAGCGCAGCACGGTGAAGTCAGTCCGGGAACGGGAGCCAGCAGAAATGTCTCACAGTGGGAGTCAGGAAGCCACCGGGGCCTCGAGTGGCAGCGACAGCCCGACCAAACGGGCACCCAGGCCGCCCGTTGGAAACAAAGTGACCGTGGTGCTCGGAGCTCAATGGGGCGACGAGGGGAAAGGGAAAGTTGTGGACCTGCTAGCACAAGACGCGGACATGGTGTGCAGATGTCAGGTACGTACGCCTCCCAGAAGTCCCCCCGTGAAGCGCCGGTGGTAAACGGGTAAACCTCACAGGTACAGTTGGCCGGTTAGCTAAACCGCGCTTCACCCCGCTGCGTTCATATCACATCGGAGAAACAGGATAAATAAAACAGGTTCTTGACAACTTCCGAGTGCGGGAGTTCGTGACAGTTTCTCACGCTCGGTGAAAGCACTGAAGACAAAGTGATGACAGGAGTGGTACCTCAGATCTGTATATGACAGTCAGGTGTCACCACACGATTAGCGCTAATGCTAAGTTAGTTAGAGGATACGGTGCTTTTAAAAACATTTTCTCGTATCTGATATATTTTGCATGAACGCCGCATTGATATCAACATGCTAACAAGTAAGTTGTTAGCAAATAATCCCGAGACTGCTGCTGTCTGTTTTGCTAAGTTCACCTTGAATTCCAGCTAGCGGCTTAGCCCTTTTAACAGCTGTAACAGTGGGATGACTTCTTGTGTAATTGTTAAAAATAATTATACGCATCAGGTGCATTCGTTCAAAGTGGGCTTCGTCTGTTTTAAACAAGTGAGTACGCGAGTTCAGTAAAGCCAAGTTTTCCTTCTTAGCCAGGAGTCTGTGCTGTTTACCTAAACACCCGTAGGGATGAAATATTACTGTCAAGTAGCCTGCATGCTTCATCATTTGTTGTTTTATGCAATGCAGAAGTCTAGTAATTGTGGTCACAGCATAGCAAGGAAATGCCACTATCAGTTCTTTTAAAATGTACAGAAGCAAACTGTAATCGTTGTAATAGGAGTGTTATTACATTGGTATTTGCCATATGTACAGGTCAAGGTCAGTCGATGGTCGATATGTGCTGCCAATTTTTTGGGCAGATTTTCGTGGCGGATATTATTGAACTAGTTTGCCTGCTTGATTGTCACTAAAATATCTCTGAACCTAATCGGGTTTTAAACACAAAGTTTAACCAAATCTTGACACTTAATTTGTGCTCAGAATCTAAAGGGATATATTATGATTTTTTTCTGAAGTTGTAATAGTTCTATAGTTCTATGGCCAATACCAAACCTGTTCATGAAGTTCCTTGCACAAAATCCCTCTGGTATGAAGCATTTTCATCAGTTTTATTCTTTCATCAGTTTCAGTACCTTCCAGAATGAGGCCTATTGGCCGATCTCGGTATTAAAAATATATTAAATATCAACCTGATGTGTCAACCTATCTCTAGCTCAGATTCAAGAAATTACAACAATCAACACAGCAGATGTTACATAGATGCAATCATGTCATGCTTGGAGAGTATAGCTAGTTTATGATGATATATCATAGCATTTCATCTGACTTTTTACATTTTTTGTTTCATAAACTGCCTCTTTGCTTTAAAGAACAAGTCACCTCCTACCAGAGTAATACTCCACTCACACTTCTTGTTTGAAAAATGCAACAAATGCTGTTGCCTAGCACACCGAGAGGGTGGAGCCGCTAACAAATACACACACACACAGGCTCACAACGCCATTGTGACATCACATGGTACCAGCTAACATTCTAGGGTACCTCTTAGCCAATAGTGATGGCAGATTTAAATTCAACTGCAGTGCAGAGGTTTTACCTGACAACTGTACAACACTGACAGTTTTTGGCAGAAAATTTAAATTTGAACTAAAATGCAGTAAAGTGCTAAACTATTGATTACACGTGTCCGCAACACGATTAGACACACATTTATATAGTTTATCAGAAAAAAAAGTTGATTTTGGGGTGACTTGCTCTTTAAAAAGCATAGTTGGTGAAATAAGTGCTGTTTACAATCGTTCTATTACAATAATAGTCAATTATGCTTTTTTTTAAGCCGCCATCATCAAGTTAGTTGTTGTTTTTAGTTGGTTTATGGAAAACAAGTCAGGTTTCAGACGCAACAAACCATAATCACATGTTTATGAAAACTTTAGCCTGATAAATTATCTGCACATGTTTGCACTAACCGCTCGGCCATTGTACAGACTTGTTAAACCACCCTCATTTTATTTATTAGTTGAAAGGCACATGCACGTCGTCTTAGACTAAAACATAAGTCAGAGTAAAGATTCAGCCCAAGTATGCTTGTAGTTGTGTCTCTCACAGTGAAAACGTTTCACAAAAAACACCAAAACAAATATTTTAATGATGCATGAAGTTCAAAGTGACTTCAGCCTCACCTGTGATACGAGCTGAGTGTGTGACTACCAAGCACACCTTTGGTGGTAGAAAATAGGTAATTGATTTAGATAATTTTTCACTTGAAATTTGATGTCAAATATAAAAAAAATGCATCATATGTTTTTAATGGTGAGTTGTTAGCACACATTTTGGTTGTCAGGATGCTCCTATTTATTCTTGCTCCCACATCTATTATATTTTTTAATAGTCCAGAATTTGATGTAATAAAAAAGATTGTACAGTCATTTGTGTCATGAGTTTCCTGCAGATGAACATCAGGATTTCTGGAAACTTAAGAAGCAACATGTGTGGGTGTCAACTTTATCCTCCTTCAAATGACTGTTATGGTTATTTCATCTTACACTGAAAAAAAAGGGTTGGACAAAAAAGTAGACTTAATGTAGTTTAATTACAGTGGTCCCTTGCTATAATGTGATAGGGTTACGCAATTTGTATAATTTTCCCCACTGCCAATCCAAAAAAAGACGATGAATGATTTATTTGTGCGTGTGACGTCATGATGCACGGACTGGTTTGCGAACATAGAAGAAATCCAAAACACAGATTTTTTTTATAGAAATGCAGCACATATATTTTCTGTACGATAAATTAGGAGTTTTCTTTTTTGTTTAATTTTGTTATATTAGTTTGGTAGAGTGATGTATAAACGGCCCGTATTAAACATGATTAAAGTGTTAAAAGGAAGCCTCCTCTTTGTTTCCGTGTGGTGCCCACTATTGTGGTAGCCTAGTTTATTAAAACAAAATGTTTTTTCTGAACAAAGACTTCTGGGTTTCTTTCTTTTATGAGTTTGAGTAGGAAATGGAATGAATCACTGCTACGTTTTTCGCAATCTGAGGAAGGAGCATTTGCTTGCAGCCACTGGTCACATGATTCATTTATCCATGTCACTTTTGTAAGAGTTGGTAAATGTAGTGCTTTAAAAGCTTAATATATTACCTCTACTTATGACCAATAAGCTGTGATACGTCTAGAAAATCAACCTGCTTGGTCTTTGGATGTTTAATCAGAAGATTCTAGGATTCTTTGTTTATTCAGGGATTGTAGAACACTTCGTCTTGATTCAAGGACAGAGTCAGGTTTATAAAAAGTAAGAATTTATTTTTCAAACAATTAAAACATGACAAGTTAACTAATATTACTGTGAATGGATGGATCTAGGTGAGTGGAATGAGATGTATGGTGACTAAGTGTGAATATGATGTTATCGGAACATTCGTATCTAGAAGAGCTGAGTTCTGGGTGCAAAAGGAAAGAATTTGGTTTGCGTTAAGCTATGAAGTTGATTCTTGTCAAAAAGCATCAGACGCTATCTGTGTGTCTACCTCACCCTTTGGAAGACCTTCTTCATGGATCAGAAGGTCAGATGACCTCTGGCACCGAGGGTTGTAGAGTAACCGCAGCACCGACTCTCCAGTCCAGAGATGTTTTCCGGGTCACAACAGATGGATGGAACTGTTTGCGTGTAGAAGGAGACTTAGGGAGTCAGAACAATATCAGCTTTGTTCTGCAGTAACCGATCGCTGTGTGTCAGCAGTAGGCAGCTTTTAGCAGGGTTTTGGCAGCTGGCCAAAAATGCTCAGGGTTAAAGAGTTTTCGCTCCGGACGGCCGTTCTGTAGCTCTTTCTCTAGAACTGAATGCTGAATGATGGAAAGCTGGAATGCGACTGCTGAATCACCTTAGTGATTCTGTTTTAATATTCTCATGTTATGAATTCTTGGCCAATCGGAACGTGCCATGCTAAGGGATATTACCAAGAAAACCTCAGACATCACGCCTTCTTGAGATACCGGATGCTCTGATCTGCGGTAAAGAAATATCTATGTGTCATGAGTTTAACTTCACTTTAATTTGTCCTTGTGTCTGAGTGCGGGTGACGATTGCCTTGTCATATCAAACATTACTGATTACCATATATATCTAACTCATTCAGTGTAATAATTCATTTCATACTTTCAGTAATTCAAGCACAGATCAATCAAAACATTATTATTATCCATATAACCTTTGTTAATTTCATTTCATGAAAACGTTCACTTTATTCAGAGAGTGGGACTCCTGCAGTGTTATCAGAGAAGGCTTTGTTTGGGAACACAGGCTGACAACGTGTTCCTCCTGAAATGTCAACAAGGTTGCAGTATCCTTCTGGGCATTAGGAAGATAGAGTGTAAAATCCACCTTAGGGATGGGACTTATGTCTGCAGATGACCGGTGGCATGTGTGTCAATCTGTAGGTGAAAACTGATCATTTCTGGACATTACACTTTCATTTTTAAAATAATAAATAACTATTCAATACCGTTACATTTCCATTCATGTTAATTAACATTTAGTCCAAACAAGCTGATCAGAGTGCCCCAGTAACATAAACACTGTAATTAACGATTTCACTTAAAGTAGGAACATTTCACCTGCTGCGGCCCGAACGCACATTCCTTCTGCTCCGCGTAAACCTGAACTGGTCACCTGCTGCTTGTGTGTAATCTAATGTCTCCAGGGAGCTTGCTGAAGAGGTTATGAGGTTCTGGATTTTTGCCTCAGACAGACTCGTGGCACAGTCAGTGATGGTCTGGGGTGCCATGTCAGCTGCTGGTGTTGGTCCGCTGTGTTTTATCAAGGGCAGGGTCAATGCAGCTAGCTATCAGGAGATTTTGGAGCACGTCATGCTTCCATCTGCTGAAAAGCTTTATGGAAATGAAGATTTCATTTTTCAGCACGACCCGGCACCTGCTCACAGTGCCAACACCACTGGTAAATGGTTTACTGACCATGGTATTACTGTG